CGTGTCACTAGACTCTCGATCGTGGCGCCGAAATAATTTTACAATATTGAGACATGCGAGCAATATCTCTTCATTACCTCTTTCGAAGATAAACTCATTCTGAAGATCTTTCGTGCACTCTTTCGAAGATCTCATTCACGCATTGAATAGAGCTAATTAGTCCCGCGCGCATCAAAAGCAACAATAATTTTTCCTAGCGTCTCGTTTGGAAGAAAAAGTCACAAATTAGTCCACCTGGCCGTGACTCAGTTCAGGTCTTCAAGAGGAATGCAAGTGTCACGCTTCTCGCGCCACCCACAGAACACCGCAAGAGGAACACCTAAAAGTTTTCAGTTCACTCCCCTTTTTTTCTCAGTGCGTGGGAGGCGACTCGCCAGGTGGGGCAACGGGCCCTGAAACGAGCCAGCTTGAGCTGTCCTGTGGAAAATAACGCATCCTGCTACCTGAATGTCCTCGTCACTCCTAAAATATTCATGGAATTCGTAGTGGATATCGCCAGGGGGTTCCATAAAATGTTGTGTGGGGGATGATTACAGCGCGAGGTGTACCATAGCGGGAGAGAGAGAGAGGGTACAGGGGCGGTACACTGCAGCGGGGTACATGATGCTCGAGGTGCCGGAAAGTAAACAGAGCGGTCCCGGGTCCCTCCCGGCGGCTCATGCGCGCGCGCCGGCCGCCAACACCGTGCCACTTGCCAAGTTTTACTTATCAACAATATTTTCTCGGTATTTACACTCGTTTCAGGTATATTATCACTATCGCCTATTCGGTAAATATAATCTATGATGTATTCAATATGAAATATGTAATTAAGCTGTAAACAAATGAGGGAAAATATGGATTGTGAAAAGTTTGGGTGGTGGCGACCGGGGGAGTAGCTCAGTACAGCTTGATGTTGTCCTGGTGGCGAGCTGATGTTTCCAGCAGTGTGGGAGAGCCAGTGGTGGAGAGCAGGCGTGTGCCGCTACCTCGCCGGTACGGGGGGCCTGGGAGCCTCACCCATCCCCCTTTTCAATATGACCTTGTTCTATTCATCTGTCAATGACCTTATCTATATTAGAGGGGAATGTAACTCAAAGCTAGCTAGAAATGTGCTTCGAGGTTTCCGAGTGGGGTCATTACCAGTGCCAAGGTGGTGCCACAATTCTCACCTGTGAAGGAGGTGATAGTGCAGTGCCGCCTGGCTCAGTGTTAGTGAGGGCCATAGTGCCTCCTGGCGCTGGGTGCCACGGAGATCCGTGGTGCCATGATGCTTGTTGCGTGAACAGCTAGCTAGCACGGCACGACGCAGTAGTGTAAAAATATAATCATATCCATCTAAGAAATTAATAATATAAACCCTGAGTTATCTAAAAGAAAATGACCCAAAATGCCATTTAACATTTGCAATTTCTAAAATTAAATACGGTAAAAAATTGGTATGAGCAGTGATATTTAGTGTTGGAAAACGATTGACAACGGTTTGTCGTGGCCAGCGACAAGCCGTTGTATATAACTGACGACAAGGGCCAGTTGCTTGGCTCCGGATGCGAGCGGCAGGAGAGGTGTGAGGTCTGCCTGGGTCAGTCACGGTAACCAGGTGTTGACGCGAGTGTGTCATGCGTTGACACCTCTCATCCACGTGTTACAGCTCCCGGCCACGTGTCCAGTGCCCGCACTCCCTGTCCTCTTGCGTCATGCACACGTCGTAACCCAGTAACGAGATACACGTGTCAAAGGCCCCATTCCCCTCACTCACCGTCTCATAACTTGTCATAGACGTGTCAAAGCCCCCACTCACCGTCCCTTAACTTGTCATAGACGTGTCAAAGCCCCCACTCACCGTCCCATAACTTGTCATAGACGTGTCAAAGCCCCCACTCACCGTCCCATAACTTGTCATAGACGTGTCAAAGCCCCCACTCACCGTCCCATAACTTGTCATAGACGTGTCAAAGCCCCCACTCGCCGTCCCATAACTAGTCATAGACGTGTCAAAGCCCCCACTCACCGTCGTATACACACACGTGTCAAAGCTCCTCATCAAATCAAAATTCCTCATTTATATAAATGACTTTACTGCAAAAGTTGAGTCTTGTATGTCGATGTTTGCAGATGATTCAAAACTAATGAGAAGGGTTTAGACACATGAGGATTGTAAAACTCTCCAGGATGACTTAAAAAACCTGCAGAGATGGTTCGAGAAATGACTGCTGGAGTTCAACACCAATAAGTGTAAGATGATGGAAATGGGTACAGGAGTTAAAAGACCGAAAGGCCAATACACGATGAAGGAAAACAATCTCCTTAAAACGACTAGAGAAAAAGACCTGAGAGTGGACGTAACACCAAACTTAACACCAGAGGAAGATGTAAATATTATAATGTCAGCTGCATACCCCACGCTGGCAAAAGTCAGAACATCCTTCAGGAATTTATATAAAGAGTTTTTTTTAGATCACTGTATATTGCCTATATGAGACTAATTTTAGGGTATGCCGCCCCATTGTGGAGCCCCAGTCTAAAAAAAACTATGGAAGTTCGAATGAGTGCAGAAATTTGTAACGAGACTCGTCCCAGAATTGCGAGGGCTGAGGTATGAAGAGAGAGATTGAACCAACTAAATCTGACGACGCCAAAAAGGATGATGATCAAAAAAGGAAGACGGGAGACATGATTTAGACGTACAAAATACTTAAGGGGAATAACAGGGTGGAAACAAAAGAAATGTTTTCAATGATTACCAATATAACAAAAGGGCACGAATGGAAGCTCAAGACTCAGATGTGTCATTGAGATGATTGAAACTTCTTTTAGCGTAAGGGTAGTGAGTAAATGGAATGACCTAGAGGAGCAGGTTGTAGAGGCTAACTACATTCACAACTTTACCAGCAGGTATGATAGGGAACTAGGGCAGGTCGAGTTATTGTATTAGACAACCAGCGGCTAGAAAAGGTGGGTCCAAGAGCTAGAGCTCGATCCTGCAGTCACACAGAGGGGAGTACACTCGCGCGTACACACACACACACACACACACACACACACACACACACACACACACACACACACACACACACACACACTCACTCACTCACTCACTCACTCACTCACTCACTCACTCACTCACTCACTCACACACACACACACACACACACACACACACACACACACACACACACACACGAGATACGTAATCACCAGTCTGGAGAGTGTTTACGCACCGCTCTTGAGCCGTATTTGAGTACCGAGTTTACAGCACATCAGGTGTAAACCTTACACAGCTCACCGAGTGACGTTACTCCACCCATTCAGAGCTGTACTCGCCTAGTTGTACCTGCGGGGGTTGAGCTCTGGCTCTTTGGTCCCGCCTCTCAACTGTCAATCAACTGGTGTACATATTCCTGAGCCTACTGGGCTCTATCATATCTACATTTGAAACTGTGTATGGAGTCAGCCTCCACCACATCACTGCCTAATGCATTCCACCTGTTAACTACTCTGACATTGAAAAAGTTCTTTCTAACGTCCTTTTGGCTCATTTGGGTACTCAGTTTCCACCTGTGTCCCCTGGTTCGCATACCACCCGCATACCAGTTTATTTTTATCTACCCTGTCAATTCCTCTTGATAATTCTGTAGGTAGTGATCATGTCTCCCCGAGCTCTCCTGTCTTCCAGCGACGTGAGGTGTATTTCCCGCAGCCTTTCCTCTTAACTCATGCCTCTTAGTTCTGGGACTAGCCTCGTGGCATACCTCTGAACTTTTTCCAGCTTTGCCTTGTGCTTGATAAGATGCGGGCTCCATGCTGGGGCCGCGTACTCCAGAATTGGTCATACATATGTGGTATGCAAGGTTTTGAATGATTCTTTACACAGGTTCCTGAAGGCAGTTCTGATATTAACCAGCCTTGCATACGCCGTCGATGTTATTCTTTTGATGTGGGCTTCAGGAGACAGGTTTGGTGTGATATCAACTCCTAGATCTTTCTCTCTGTCCGTTTCATGAAGGACTTCATCTCCCATTCGGTATCTTGTGTCTGGCCTCCTGTTTCCACTGCCTAGTTTCATTACCTAACATTTACTCGGGTTGAACTTTAGTAGCCATTTGTTGGATTATTCATTCAGTTTGTCTAGGTCATTTTGTAGCCTCATACTATCTTTCTCTGTCTTACTCCTGTGTGCGTGTGTGTGTGTGTGTGTGTGTGTGTGTGTGTGTGTGTGTGTGTGTGTGTGTACTCACCTAGTTGTACTCACCTAGTTGTGCTTGCGGGGGTTGAGCTCTGGCTCTTTGGTCCCGCCTCTCAACTGTCAATCAACAGGTGTACAGGTTCCTGAGCCTATTGGGCTCTATCATATCTACACTTGAAACTGTGTATGGAGTCAGCCTCCACCACATCACTTCCTAATGCATTCCATTTGTCAACCACTCTGACACTAAAAAAGTTCTTTCTAATATCTCTGTGGCTCATTTGGGCACTCAGTTTCCACCTGTGTCCCCTAGTGCGTGTGCCCCTTGTGTTAAACAGCCTGTCTTTATCAACCCTGTCAATTCCCTTGAGGATCTTGAATGTGGTGATCATGTCCCCCCTAACTCTTCTGTCTTCCAACGACAGTGTGTGTGTGTGTGTGTGTGTGTACTCACCTAGTTGTATGCGGGGGTTGATCTTCGGCTCTTTGGTCCCGCCTCTCAACTGTCAATTAACTGGTGTACAGGTTCCTGAGCCTACTGGGTTCTATCATATCTACACTTAAAACTGTGTATGGAGTCTGCCTCCACCACAACACTTCCTAATGCATTCCATTTATTAACTACTCTGACACTAAGCAAATTCTTTATAATGTCTTTATGGGTCATTTGGGTACTGAATTTTCACCTGTGTCCCCTAGTGCGTGTGCCCCTTGTGTTAAATAAACTGTCTTTGTCTACGCTTATCAATTCCTTTGAGAATCTTGTATGTGGTGATCATGTCCCCCTAACTCTCCTGTCTTCCAGCGACGTGTGTGTTTACTAGTTGTGTTTTTACGGGGGTTGAGCTTTGCTCTTTCGGCCCGCCTCTCAACTGTCAATCAACTGTTTACTAACTACTATTTTTTTCCCCCACACCACACACACACACCCCAGGAAGCAGCCCGTGACAGCTGACTAACTCCCAGGTACCTATTTACTGCTAGGTAACAGGGGCACTTAGGGTGAAAGAAACTTTGCCCATTTGTTTCTGCCTCGTGCGGGAATCGAACCCGCGCCACAGAATTACGAGTCCTGCGTGCTATCCACCAGGCTACGAGGCCCCCAGGCCTACGAGGTGTGTGTGTGTGTGTGTGTGTGTGTGTGTGTGTGTGTGTGTGTGTGTGTGTGTGTGTGTGTGTGTGTGTGTGTGTGTGTGTGTGTGATGTAGTTTCTGAACCCTGTACCCACTAGGGGTCTGTTGTCTAATGCAGGGGTTCCCAAATTGATCATATAAATGACTCCCCTGATGTGATGACCCCCCAGCCCAGGACCCCCGCCCCAACAAAATTTATACCCCAGGATGTACATATAATATTTACATATTGTTACGTAAAGTACCAGCAATAAAGTAGAACGGTTTTACTTTAATTTTTTTCATGTTTTAAATACAAAGCAAAGGTAATGATTTTCAAACTCCCACAGCACACACACACACTCTCCCACAGTACACAGACACTCCCACAGTACACACACACTCCCACAGTACACAGACACTCCCACAGTACACAGACACTCCCACAGTACACAGACACTCCCACAGTACACAGACACTCCCACAGTACACAGACACTCCCACAGTACAGACACTCCCACAGTACAGACACTCCCACAGTTCACACACACACAGTATACAGACACTCCCACAGTACACAGACACTGCCACAGTACACAGACACTGCCACAGTACACACACACTCCCACAGCACCCTCCAGTATCACGCCCACCCACCAGTATCACCCCCACCCTCCAGTATCACGCCCACCCACCAGTATCACGCCCACCCACCAGTATCACGCCCACCCACCAGTATCACGCCCACCCACCAGTATCACGCCCACCCACCAGTATCACGCCCACCCACCAGTATCACGCCCACCCACCAGTATCACGCCCACCCACCAGTATCACCCCCACCCACCAGTATCACGCCCACCCACCAGTATCACGCCCACCCACCAGTATCACGCCCACCCACCAGTATCACGCCCACCCACCAGTATCACGCCCACCCACCAGTATCACGCCCACCCACCAGTATCACGCCCACCCACCAGTATCACGCCCACCCACCAGTATCACGCCCACCCACCAGTATCACGCCCACCCACCAGTATCACGCCCACCCACCAGTATCACGCCCACCCACCAGTATCACGCCCACCCACCAGTATCACGCCCACCCACCAGTATCACGCCCACCCACCAGTCACGCCCACCCACCCACCACCCACCAGTATCACGCCCACCCACCAGTATCACGCCCACCCACCAGTATCACGCCCACCCACCAGTATCACGCCCACCCACCAGTATCACGCCCACCCACCAGTATCACGCCCACCCACCAGTATCACGCCCACCCACCAGTATCACGCCCACCCACCAGTATCACGCCCACCCACCAGTATCACGCCCACCCACCAGTATCACGCCCACCCACCAGTATCACGCCCACCCACCAGTATCACGCCCACCCACCAGTATCACGCCCACCCACCAGTATCACGCCCACCCACCAGTATCACGCCCACCCACCAGTATCACGCCCACCCACCAGTATCACGCCCACCCACCAGTATCACGCCCACCCACCAGTATCACGCCCACCCACCAGTATCACGCCCACCCACCAGTATCACGCCCACCCACCAGTATCACGCCCACCCACCAGTATCGCCCACCCACCAGTATCACGCCCACCCACCAGTATCACGCCCACCCACCAGTATCACGCCCACCCACCAGTATCACGCCCACCCACCAGTATCACGCCCACCCACCAGTATCACGCCCACCCACCAGTATCACGCCCACCCACCAGTATCACGCCCACCCACCAGTATCACGCCCACCCACCAGTATCACGCCCACCCACCAGTATCACGCCCACCCACCAGTATCACGCCCACCCACCAGTATCACGCCCACCCACCAGTATCACGCCCACCCACCAGTATCACGCCCACGCCCCCACCAGTATCACCCACCAGTATCACGCCCACCCACCAGTATCACGCCCACCCACCAGTATCACGCCCACCCACCAGTATCACGCCCACCCACCAGTATCACGCTTCTCTCAGGAAATTATTTTTTCTCAGTCGGGCAGTGAGGTAAAGTTCCGTTACGTTGTGACTAACACTCAAGTGGCAAGACGAGAATGATGATGATGATGATGATGATTGTGACGGGGATGATGATGATATTTGTGAAGGGCATCCATAGTGATGAATGATGTGCAGGTGTTACCAAAGGTTCGAGTGACTGTTACTACCAATGCCCTGCAGGGTATACTCATCACGCTCCCATGTATATACTCATCACGGCCCATGAATATACTCATCACGCCCCATGTATATGCTCATCACGCCCCATGTATATACTCATCACGCCCATGTATATACTCATCACGGCCATGTATATACTCATCACACCCCATGTATATACTCATCACGCCCATGTATATACTCATCACACCCTATGTATATACTCATCACGGCCCATGTGTGTACTCATCACGCCCCTATGTATATACTCATCACGGCCCCCATGTATATACTCATCACGCCCCGTGTGTGTACTCATCACGCCCCTATGCATATACTCATCACGCCCACAACCTCTGCACCCCCCTCCCTCCACCCCCACATAGAGGGAGCGGTGTGCTGGCGTGCCAGCAACACAACTCCACCACCACAGCACAGCAACACACACCTTCACACAACACCACATCAAGCAACACACCACCACACAAGCAACACACCACCACAACACCACAGCACAACACACCACCACAGCAACCAACACAACACACACACAACACACAGCACCACAACACACCACCACAACACCACAGCAGCAACACACCACCACAACACCACAGCAAGCAACACACCACACAACACACCACAGCAAGCAACACACCACCACACACACCACAGCAAGCACACACACCACCACAACACCACACAACAACACACCACCACAACACCACAGCACAACACACCACCACAACACAGCCACAACACACCACCACAACACCACAACAAGCAAGACACCACCACAACACCACAGCAAGCAACACACACACCACAGCAAGCACACACACCACCACAACACCACAGCCACAACACACCACCACAACACCACATCAACAACACACCACCACACAAGCACACCACCACAACACCACCAGCAACAACACCACCACAACACCACACACAACACACACACCACCACAACACCACACACAGCACCACACACCACAACACCACAGCAACAACACACCACACACAACACCACAGCAACACAACACCACCACCACAGCAACAACACACCACCACAACACCACAGCAAGCAACACACCACCATAACACCACCACAACACACCACCACAACACACATGAACAACACACCACCACACAACAAGACACCACCACAACACCACATCAACAACACACCACCACACCACACCACAGCAACAACACACCACCACAACACCACAGCAAGCAACACACCACCACAACACACCACAACAACACACCACCACAACACCACACCACAACACACCACCACAACACACAGCAACAACACACCACCACAACACCACCACCACAACACACCACCACAACACCACAGCAACAACACACCACCACACACACCACAGCAAGCAACACACCACCACAGCTTCACAACACACCACCACAACACCACACCACAACACACCACCACAACACCACACAACAACACACCACCACAACACACACAACAACACACCACCACAACACACAACCACAACACACCACCACAACACACCACCACAACACCACACAAGCAACACACCACCACAACAAGCAACACACACCACACACAACACCACACCACCACAACACACCACCACAACACCACACCAGCAACACACCACCACAACACACAACACACCACCACCACACAGCAACACACACACCACACCACAACACACCACCACAACACACCACCACAACACCACATCACAACACACCACCACAACACCACAACAAGCAACACACACACCACACCACAGCAACACAACACACCACCACAACACCACATCAAGCAACACACCACCACAGCAAGCAACACACCACCACAACACCACAGCAAGCAACACACCACCACAACACCACAGCAAGCAACACACCACCACAACACCACAGCAAGCAACACACCACCACAACACCACAGCAAGCAACACACCACCACAACACCACAGCAACAACACACCACCACAACACACATGAAGCAACACACCACCACAACAAGCAACACACCACCACACACACCACAGCAAGCAACACCACCACAACACCACACCACAACACACACCACCACAACACCACAGCAACAACACACCACCACAACACACAGCAAGCAACACACCACCACAACACCACCGCAACAACACACCACCACAACACCACAGCAAGCAACACACCACCACAACACCAACACAACAACACACCACCACAACACCACACAACAACACACCACCACAACACCACAGCAAGCAACACACCACCACAACACCACATCAAGCAAGACACCACCACAACACCACAGCAAGCAACACACCACCACAGCAAGCAAGACACCACCACAACACCACAGCAAGCAACACACCACCACAACACCACAGCAAGCAACACACCACCACAACACCACAGCAAGCAAGACACCACCACAACACCACAGCAAGCAACACACCACCACAACACCACAGCAAGCAACACACCACCACAACACCACAGCAAGCAAGACACCACCACAACACCACAGCAAGCAACACACCACCACAACACCACAGCAAGCAAAACACACCACAGCAAGCAACACACCACCACAACACCACAGCAAGCAACACACCACCACAGCAAGCAACACACCACCACAGCAAGCAAGACACCACCACAGCAAGCAAGACACCACCACAGCAAGCAACACACCACCACAGCAACACACCACCACAGCAAGCAAGACACCACCACAGCAAGCAAGACACCACCACAACACCACAGCAAGCAAGGGGGTGACACAGGCACACATATGTACGGCACTAAACAGTAGTTTATCATATAGTGTCCGGGTAGCGGGCGTCACGGGAGCCATGGTCTCCGCTTCCCTCCTTCACAACAAACCATAAAATACAATTAGCTACCAATGCGTATCCTTACAGTGAGAACATGTAAAAAAATACGCAAGAAAAAGCTAGGTGCTGGAGGGAGGTGTTGGGAGGCAGGTTGTGTGAGGGAGGGAGTGCGAGGGAGGGAGTGCGAGGGAGGGGGTGCGAGGGAGGGGGTGTGAGGGAGGGGGTGTGAGGGAGGGAATGTGAGGGAGGGGGTGTGAGGGAGGGAATGTGAGGGAGGGGGTGTGAGGGAGGGAATGTGAGGGAGGGGGTGTGAGGGAGGGAATGTGAGGGAGGGGGTGTGAGGGAGGGGATGTGAGGGAGGGGATGCGAGAGGGAGGTGGCGGGACGGGTATTAAAGATGATAGGTGGAGGGATCCGGATTAGAGGGACGGCTGGTGACCTTGACGCCAAAGTTACTTCCCAGCTAAATATTGGTGTCGCTGCGGTGCTTGTCGGAGCTGCAAGCACGAACGCTACTATGAAAACGTTGACCAATTAACCCCCTCCTTTCTCCGCCGCCCCCTCCTCCCCCACCCAGCTTGGCTAGGGCTCGAGAAAATGAGGGGGGAGGGGGAGAGAGAGGGGAGAAAGGATGGGAGGAGTCATAATTGTTGCGGCGTTGAAGGAAATATCTCCAACAGAGAGTTGGGTCCCGTCAGCGGCAGGGGCGGCCAGATCGATCCTCCCGAGCCCCAGGAAGTTTGGGCCAGTGTGTTCGGCGCTCCGAATGTGTCCTCCCTCCTTCCTTTCCCCTCCCCCTTCTCTCCCCTTCCATCCATCACCCTCCCCTCTGTCACTCTGTCAACACAAACCTGTTTTTCTTCCTATACCTAAATCCATATCCCCCCCCCCCCTTACTTTTCTCTTAACTATTCCTACCTTCTTCCTTACTCTCCTCCCTACCCTCCATACATAATCCTGCTGCAATTTTCTTCCTTATCTCCGTACAGCCTCCCTCTCCTCCACCTCTCCTTCCTCTCTCTGGTCTCCTGGTTTATGAACTCTTCCCCCCACCATCTTCCTCATGCTATACATAACACTCTGTGTGTGTATATACTCACCTAGTTGTGCTTGAGCTTCAGCTCTTTGGTCCCGCCTTTCAACTACCAGTCAACTGGTGCCTATTGGACTCTTATCATATATACATTTGAAACTGCGTATGGAGTCTGCCTCCACCACATCACTTCTTAATGCATTCTTTTTAATGTGTCTGTGGCTCATTTAGGTATTCAGTTTCCACCCATCCCCTTGTGTGAGTGCCACCTTCGTTAAATAATTTGCCATTATTTACCCTATCAATTCCCCTGAGAATTTTGTATCTTGTAATCATGTCTCATAACTCTTCTGTCTTCCAGCGACGTGAGGTTCATTTCGTGCAGCCTTTCCTTGTAGCTCAGACCTCGTAGTTCTGGAACTAGTCTGGTGGCATACCTTTGAACTTTCTCCAATGATCTGAGGGTTGACAAGGTATAGACTCCATGCTGGAGCCGGGTATTCCAGGATTGGTCTGGGCACATGTGGTATACAAGGCTCTAAATGATTCCTTACACAAATTTTTAAAGGCAGTTCTGATTTTAGTCAGCCTCGTATACGTCGCTGATGAGATCCAGTTTATATGGGCTTCGGGATACAGGTTCGATGTGATATGAACTACTACAGTACATCCTACTCTCTGGCCGTTTCATTGCTTTACATTTACTTTAGTTAAACTCTAGTAGCCATTTGTTCAGTTCGTCCAGTTCATCTAGTACCTTTTCTCTACTAAACTCTAGTTTCACTTTTCCTGTCTTCCTCAGAATTTTCGCATCATCAGCAAACATTGATAGAAACGAGTCTATTCCCTCGGGGAGATCGTTTACATATATCAGAAGCAGGATGGGGTCCAAGGACTGAACCCTGTTCGCCTCCGCTTGTGACGTCTCACCACTCTGAGACCTCACCCCTCACAGTGACTCGCTGTCTTCTGTTGCCTAGGTTTTCCTTTATCAACTGAAGTACCTTCCCTTTTATTCTTGCCTGCGTCTCCAGCTTATGTACTAGTTTCTTATGGAGTGCTGTGTCGAAGGCTTTCTGGCAATATAAAAATATGCAGTCTGCTCGCTCTTCGCTTTCTTGTCTTTGTATGTGTGTGTGTGTGTGTGTGTGTGTGTGTGTGTGTGTGTGTGTGTGTGTGTGTGTGTGTGTGTGTGTGTGTGTGTGTGTGTGTGTGTGTGTGTGTGTGTGTGTGTGTGTGTGTGTGTGTGTGTATAAATTTAGTAAACATTTGTTTTAGTACTCACGTACTTATGGACTTATTTCTGCGTGTAAAGAGTGTGTGCGCGCCATCGAGCGTGCGTGAGTACACAGTTTGTATATCTGCGTAGCGACCCTCACCTGTGCTTGTAGTGACTGGAGTAGTTAGCAGTACGAATCGATAGTGGTACTGCTTCATGGCGATAGTAGTGAGAGTAGACAGTGGTGAGAGTACTACTATCTACCTCACAGTGAAAGGTAGATAGTAGAGTAGACAATAGTGGGAGTAGATAACAAACCTACCTTACACGGACCAATGCTTTGGAACAACAATAACTACTAGTGAGTGGGGGGGAGGGGGAGCTGTCGAACACATGGGGCCGGCTGGGGGGGGGGGCGATCCCCTGGCTCCTAAGGCAATTTTTCACCTCAGATTGATTTCCTGTCACCATTTGTGCCTGTTGAAAAGCTCCAATTGTAGCCTGAGCTCCCCTAATGACCTCGTTTGTATATGCCTCTTAACTTACCCTAAACTCCCCCCCCCCCCTGGCACCACTATCCCCAGTATGGGCGACCCCGGGACCTGTCCCAGTGGGACCAGGGACGTGGACGGTAGTTACATTTGCATACCAGGGCCCCTACGAGATGGCCTCCTTAGCTAAACGGAAAGGAAACGGAGGCGAATTGGTAATATTTCCGTGCTGCTGTCTGTGATGAATTGTGGGTCCTCGGGAAGGTGGGTTTGACCTTAGTTCAGCTGGAGCAGGTCTTGGTGAACCTTGGTTGATTCTGGGTTGACCCGGAGTGCTCTAGGTTCAACCAAGATTGACCGGGGGTCAACCTTGAGAAGCGTCATATGATCTGAACTGACTTAGGTTAACGTGCGATATCTTGATATAACTGTAATAGCTTCCTTTTGTTTAGTTTTGAACTACCCTGAGTTGATCTGGGTAGCCGTGGAGTGACCCAGGTTGGCTTACTGCAGCACAGTTGCCCCCAGGTCACCTGAGATGACCCAGGGTCACCTGGCCTCATACAAAGCCAGTATAATATTTCCCTAGCATATGTCAAACGCCTAATTCACAATTTTCAACATGGAAAAATGTATAAAGTTTCACTCATGAGTGGATAGTGATGTGAGCGTTATTTCCAGGAGATAGTGATACGTCAGTGAATGGTTTTATGGAAATTTAAAGTTATCAGATCGGGGCCTTGTGTTGCAATGGTCAGTATTGCAGGATATATTGGGGAATAGTGGCCCCCGAGGAGTGCAGGCGCGCGGTCCCTGTAAGATGAGAGGCTGGCCACCGGTGTCGGCGCGGGCCCTGCCAGACGCCTCGCCAGGAAAACACGAGTTCTAGGGCGGTGCGGGGCCGTTACCACAGACTGTGCCAGGACCCGGGTGGTGGTGGTAACGCTGCAGCGGGACACGTCAGAGGGCGGAGGCAGGACGCTGAGGACGGCACGGATAGCGGACACGAACTCAGCAGTTCCTTAGACGAGCAGCTCAGCTCGCCTAAGGACTCTCCGAGGCAGATCCGCAAATCAGGTGGGTTGAGGGCCACTGGCGGGCATAGCACTCGTGGCTATACCAGTCTGAGTGGCTCGGGCTCCCCCTCGTCACTCAAGAAGTCGCAGGGATCAGCCAGGAGTAACGGCAGCGGCGGCGCCATCAAGAAGCGAGTGAGGTTCTCGCAGAGTGTGAGTGTAGTGCGGCCGCCGACCTCACGCCTCACCACCCTCACCAAGCAGAGTCTGGGCGCCATCGGGGCCCTGGCCATCAGGGAGCGTTATGGCGAGGGTAGCGAGTGCTTCTACGCCAGCTTCAGCCCCACGTCCCATGCACTGAGGCGCCAGAGGCAAGGCGCCGCCGCAGGAGACTACAACCTTGTTCCCGCCAACCCGAGGGGCGCCGCGTGGGCGGCAGACACCGCCGTCGGCAGGATCACCAGCAGCGTCTCCTGCACCAGCTTCTCCACCGGGGACGCGCCGGTCAGAGTGAAGATGCTGTCGTACATGTTACCAGTGGAGGAGAAGGTGAGCTTCAGCGAGGGCGACGCCTCCTCCTTCACCCCCCTCAGCGACGACCGCTCGCCGGTCTCCGAGACGAAGCCTCTTCTGGGCGACGACAAGTCCGACAAGCTGGCCTCCATGGGTGACCCGGTGCACCTGGAGTCTCCCTCCACCGAGGAGGCCAAGCTCATCATGGAGGAGAAGGAGAAGGAGAAGCCTCAAGACCCGGACATGGAGATGGTAGATCTGAAGGGAGCCGGAAGTGACGACAGGAGCCCGGCTGCCAGCGACGACAAGTCAGTCTTTAGCGAGACTCTGGCCTCGCCGGGCTCAGACGACCGCTCCATCATCAAGACTTCAGCCTCCGCTAAACCAAGTCTTAAAAGGTGAGTACAGCTTTGAATTTGTCCCTCTGTGTTTTCCTTGACAGTGGCGGCGTCAGCAGGAAGCGATTAAACAACCAGCAGATCGTCAGGAGCTGACGACACTCGAGGCTAGAGACAGGGAGGCTGAAGGCGGGCAGCTGACAGTAACTCTTCTTGCACTAAATGTCCGTCTGTCCTATCGCTCTCCTCGGCACTTACACTCACAGTGACGTCATGTGTGTGGCACTCAGCCTCCCGTCATGATGCTGACACTGTCATAATGATCGACGTATTCTGTAAGTCTTAATCCACATTTCAACATTTGTCAGTCATAAACTGATTGATCACATCTTTCTGTTAGACTTGGCACGAGCTTGCTACACCGTCTGTGGCTGAAGGCATAGTGCCAGCCCTTCCCTCACGAGGACCACACGAAGGCTCAGGCAGTTTGCTAGCCCCCGAGTACACACCTCTTCACCCCCTGTGTGTACTCTACACCAGCCTCCCACTATGTATATGAATACCTGCTCCCCCCTCTTTTTGAACTACTCAACGCCTTACGATATTACCGCGTAAATTGTTCATCACCTCTCCCCTCAGTGAGGTGTTGAGACAATGATCAAAAGTTGTTATGGAACACAACATTTCACCCCCCCCCCCACAATCTTCGAGCTCATCATGCTCCCCTCCCCCCCACCCCTACTCTGTCCCTGTCGTGTCTACTTTATAATTATCACATCAACCAAGCTTAATACAAAGACATCCTCCGCACTGCCTTGCAGATTCGGAGGTCTGCCGGCATTAATAATGGTCCGACACAGAATTATGGGGTACTGGGTGTGGGGTCGCTGTGTGGGGGGACACTGGGTGTGGGGGACACTGAGTGTGTGGCACTGGGTGTGGGGGGCACTGGGTGTGTTGGCACTGAGTGCGTGGCACTGGGTAGCTTTGATAAGGTCGACATTATGCATTCCTCTCTTAGCTTAACTAGGCCTAATATACTGCACTAACACATGAGAAGAATCATGTTATATATTTATTAGTACAAACAGCAATTTTCGAAACCTGGTGTTCTCCATTGTCTTCGTAAAATCATTCAAGTTGTAACAACAGGCTGGCGACCAAACTTCTTGTAAGTGATTTTGCTGGTATTCAGTAAAGTGAAAAACTACATCATAATCTTATTAAAATAAATAATATACAGATGAAAACAATTTCTGTATTCAGAGTGTATGGCCTCATAATTTCCGTACATACATTACGGTCTTGTAATGCTGCCAATAGGCTAAATGTACCGACAAGGTACAGATCTGACTTTTAATTAAACGTTTTTGACAATGATGTGTATAATAATAATAATATCCATAATAAAATGAATTCTAATAATAATACAGTATTGTTAGTATTATTAATAACAGCAGAAACATAAAGAGCAGCAGTAACTACAGCGGCAGTAGTAGTAATGGTAATAATATTTTTAACAAATAAATTTAAGATACAATCAGGGGCATTATATTCTGAGAGATGATGACAGTGTCACCATGTACGCACTAAAGTTCAAATTCAAATATGTTTATTGAGACAAAAAATACATCTCAAAGGGATAGAGCAGCTTAAATTATACTATTTCTACCCCTCCTCTACTTCAAGTCCCTCAGGGGGGCTCACAAATCCAATGAGTACAAATCCACAAATCACAGTACAAGAATCTACGCACTCAGGGGCTGTGTATATAATTTTCGAGGGGCTAATTTTAATATAAAAAAATTAGTTGTTTAGGGTGCTAATAAATTGAACTAACAATAAAATTAGCAATTTCTTCTTATGCGTTGCTAGACTAACAGGAAAAACATGGTTATGGCTTTTCCCATCATTAATTTTATATATCGATCTTACTCTTGCTTCAAGATGGCTTCCTAGTTGTATAATTGTGGAAAATGGCAGACATTAATTTTTCTCGTTGTACACACAATGTCTACTATATTTTTTTAGTCTCTTGGCGATCCAAACAGTTCATAGTAACTACTTATTAATAGTCATGAAGCCTATGTAACAGAATACTTTCAGACCTCCGACGTTGGCAACACTGACAAGCAAGCATTCCCCAAAGTGTTGAGACCAGAAAAATCTTGTTAATGTCACAACGCTGAGAAGCATAAACCAGTCATTAATATGACGTTGTTCGTGTGCAGCACCACGACCACAACACGCTAAATATACAGCACTTCGTATCTTGCGTGCAGTTGAGAAGAGTATCGCACTCATAAATAAATCTTGCTCGCTATCAATAAAATGAGGTGTGTAATCAGTTACGTTCTTTTAAAGTGTCAAGTTCAAGGTGGTGTCGCATTAAGCGCTTGTTGTATTATATTATTATTTGTGTAGACCATGAAAGTCAAACACAGGCTACCCGTTATTGACTTAAGTGATTTACCTCGCGGCTGAGTGGATAGCGCTCTTGGGACATAGTGCTAAGGACCCCGAGTTCGTTTCCCAGCCGAGGCAGAAACAAATGGGCATAGTTTCTTTCACCCTGATGCAACTGTTCATCTAGCAGTAAATAGGTACTTGGGAGTTAGACATTCCTGGAGGTGAGTTGTGTGTGTGCGCGTGTGTTAGAAAATGTGTAGTAGACATAACAGAGGAAAATAAATTGGTTAGAAAGGCAGGGTCCAAGAGCTAATATCTCTATTCTGCAAGCACAAATAGTAAACATACACACACACACCATGCGAGACTAACGCCGGGTTGCAGCCTCATGAACTCTTGCTTCTCGTATTGTAACCCAAGTTAAAACATACACAATCATTCTGAAAACATTTAGACCTTTTAGATATTTTTTTAGTGATTTGTCATATATATATATATATATATATATATATATATATATATATATATATATATATATATATATATATATATATATATATATATATATATATATATATATATATATATATATATATATATATATATATATATATATATACTGCCTTTTTGTACGGAGTCGACCAATCCGTTCAAAATGCAATGTTATTGTACATATTAAAACACCGTAATATTAATGTTTTCCCTGCCTTACCCTTGTTAAGTTATTGCTTGGGTTCTAATTTGGTCAAGCAGTTGCATTTTGTACGTAGTGGCAAATCGAGAAAAAGGGCTGTGGCTCCAGGAATTCAATCAATTTATTGTCAAGGTGACTGTAATTCAGGGTAGACGCCGGTACGTGTATTCCTTCCCAGCGACAACCTTGTCTATAGAAGCAGACGGTAACTGGTGCAATAATTCATCCTTATAAAAGGTCTTAAATAACTTCCACTATTACGTGTCGTAGGCTAGAGCAAAGTGTTTATTTGTTATACCTTAGCTAATAAAGTATCTCAACTGAAAACTAATTTAAACGCGAACAAAAAATGATTATTACGTTTGTTGACATTAATTTACTAGTCAGGTAGCCAGCCTCGGGTCTGGGCGGGCTCTCAACTACTGAAAATTCAATTCACTTGGAAAATGCGATGAAAATTATCACTCCTCAAGAGTTATATTTTTTCAACACAAAAACAATATCAGAATATTAGAAAATATGATTTTGTTTAATATTCTTATCGTTAAATTAAATATTTATTGAACGTTAGGTTATACTTTATTACTACTTGAATATTTCCCTTTCAATATTTTACTGACTCAAAAAAATTAGTATGCAATTGTTGACAATTCACACACTATAATCATCAATAAAGTTACACACACAATAAATTTATCAATAAAGTTATAATCACAACAATAAAGTTAACTGATGCATAACAGGATACCAGCTCTATACAAATAAAGTCATTCGCGTAGTCTGAAAACGAGAAAGAAAAGGAAATGAAAGTTGTGTGATTGTGACGAGGCTTCTCAGTGGCTAGGGTTCCAGCAAATGCGCGCTCTCGCACTCGCTCTCGCTCTCGCTCTCGCTCTCTCTCTTGCTCTCTCTCTTGCTCTCTTGCTCTCTTGCTCTCTTGCTCTCTTGCTCTCTTGCTCTCTCTCTCTCTCTCTCTCTCTCTCTCTCTCTCTCTCTCTCTCTCTCTCTCTCTCTCTCTCTCTCTCTCTCTCTCTCTCTCTCTCTCTCTCTCTCTCTCTCTCTCTCTCTCTCTCTCTCTCTCTCTCTCTCTCTCTCTCTCTCTCTCTCTCTCTATATATATATATATATATATATATCGCTGCACATTTAAGGCTGTCGTGCGGTGGAACCAATTGATTTGGCCAGAACCAAATGTATTGTTGTATCCGATTGTTTCTCCAAGGTGACTCACAGTGTATTACGGAATCCTCTGGATTTCTAAAGAGTTTTGTAGTGTTTTTCGTTAATAGCAATACAAAACAAGAAAAAATGTAACTGGTATGGGAGATTAAATAATATATCTGGAAGTATGCTTATAACGTTCCACCAGAGTTGACGTGTGGTGACCGTCCAGGACACCAGTCATGTGACCCGTCAGTACGTCGTATGACGTTCCGATAATTTATATAAAATAACGATACTCTTCTGGAATAAAATGCTGAAGAACCAAATCTTATTATAAAGCCGATGATAATTTAACGGATTACAAATAGGCAACTGGTGTGTTTCTCAAGCTGGGTGTTTACGAGATAAACATTCGCAAGTCACTACACTCTTGGATTGCGTCTGTGATGAGTGTCGAGCTGGATGGCAAAATGAGCCTTGTTGTGGTAACAATAACTGGTGATATTCCAATGCCACAATGTAACACCAATTACACAGTAGCCATGTTGTTCCTTTTATACTAAAAGGGGGTATCCGACAAAGATTCTCAGCAAAACATAATCAGCGATACATAGCATTAAAAGGGCCTGGGAGCAAGTAAACTCGTCAATTTTTAGTAGTTCTAACCATTGTGGATTATTTCTTCCATCTTTTGATAGGCACACCATTTTAATTAGCAGAGTAATGATTTTTTTGTTGTTGTCGCCGGAGGCGGCTAGTTTATTGTGCACCCCATACCCATCCTTTGAGCGGT